CCCCAAAACCCCAAAACCCCAAAACCCCAAAACCCCACATGGCCAAATTTTGCAGTTAAATATGAATTTATTTAAATTCTTAATATCATATCGAATACTTTCTTAATAATAAAATGAATTAAAGTGCAAATTCTTTTGCAGGAAATTTGTGGTAGCCCTAGTAATCCTACACCCCCAGGTCCTAGGATCAAGAAAATGCGCAGTTCACCTAACCAGGTCAGTTAGCCAAAGAAAACTCATACCCTTAGTATAGCAAAAATTAAAGTATTAGCTTGTTTGTTGACCAATTTAGGTGCTCAATTAAACGTTAATGCTCAAGCTAATTAATCCTAATTCTCTCAGATGGCCCCTGGGGGTGTCGACTTCAATCAGTTCCAACGCCAACCATTTGGAGTTAATAGCAATGCTATGCAGCAGCACAACTTACAGAGCCCTAATGAATAGTCTAATTTCCAAAGAGGACTCCCAGGACACTCCCAACTTCCTTTCAAATCCAATCAAATATTCACGTAGAATAATCCTTCAAACCAATAACAGTAATTTTCTTTAGATCCGATTATATTCATAAATAACGTTATTCTTCAAAAAACATAACTTACTCTATAGATTCATGAGCAGCAAGACTTCTCTTTCCCAAGGGTTTTTCAATAGCTTTTAGTCTTAATAACCACCTTATATGCCTCAATAACAACCACCCAGCAACTTGAATTTCCATCCTGGAGCAGCAGCAGCAAATATGATGGGAAACCCAGCTCCATACAACAATCTGAATGAAAACTAAATGCTTGCACCCTAAAACAACCAGCTGAGTCAGAATGAAAACTTTCTGAATTACTTCCAGAGCATGATTGGAAATTAGAATAATATCGCAATCATGAATCAAATGCATCATTAATAGATGTATAACATGTAATAATACTAAATGCAAGGCACAGCCACTGGCCCATCCAGACCTCACAAACATTAAAAAAGGAACAAAAATCCTAAAAATGACTATCAGTTCAACCCAATGACTAATCATTTCATAAATGAGCTGATAGGATTCAATCCAAATGACTATCAGCAATTTGGAAATGCTTAAGGGGCAATGGACCAATAGATGCGCAGTTCAAGTAACAGCACTGATAACTCAACAGAAGAACAGAGTTAGAATTCATCTTTCGAGCAGGATTACCTGCTTACTAACGGCGGCCTGACGAATGAAAGCCTTCAGAGTTTCATTACAGATTCTCCCTTCAGTTTCAGAAATCCTATCTTTTACTCTATCCCTAGAGACCACACAACAAATGCTAAGCAAGTAAACCCCATAGTTTCAAAGCGCAGACTGTTCAATGATAATGAGGAGGAACAAAAGCAAGCGCCTTAGACTCACCCTTAAGCTCGAAACTCAACAGTAATCATGAATAACAATGATGTCCAGCTAAATGCACAGCAAAAACAACAGTTCTTAAGAATGCAAAGTCAGCAGGAACAAGTGAAGGTGACTGAATTTAATGCAAGCAACAATAACTAGGTATAATCTCAGTCACTATAATCTAAATAATTGCCACAGGGAACAACCTAAAACCAATAGAGCGATGTCCAACCTCCAATTAAAAATCAGCAAGAAGCAATCAAGACATTCTTCAGTAAGTCTAACTTCATTCAAGGCAGTTAAGGACCCAACTAAAATGGAGGTGCACCCACAGGATTACCACCTAGACCTAATTAGATCCAACATACTGAGACAACTTAAAAACTATTTAGCTAAGTTCCAGGATAGTTTAAGTCTATAACTCCTATGCCTAAACTTTATGCCACAAGACAATAGCAACCTGCTCCTCCCAAAAAGTTAGTAATCACTGAAAAAATGAGAGAATAGCTGCATTTATTAAAGCAAGAATTAGTTGAAACTCCGATCTCGAGAAACAAGTACAAGAATTTCCACCAGGAATTCAAAGATATTGAGAAGAGGGGATTCAGTGACTCTATCAAGATGGTATTCGAGCGCATCCTAGAGATGCCAAAGAAAATTCACTGGCGCATCCTCAACGACTTAGCTGACTTCGCTAAGAGAGAAAGCAAGTTTGTTGAAGCAAAGATTCTCTATAAACTGATCTGTAACATCCAACCATTTGCTCATCAAGGATGGCTTGACTACGCTAAGATGGAGGAAGAGTGCGGTAACCATGACCAGAGTTGAAGAGTTCTCTAGATTGGACTTAAATTCTCATCAATGAATGAAAACTTATTCCTCAAAGCCATCAAAGTTGAGGAAAAGACTAAAAATTATGATCAAGTCAGAAAACTCTTAGGAGCTTTGAAAGATGTGCCTTTTGAGAAATCATTCAAGATGATTCTTGAAGGTGCATAGTTTGAGGGTAGAAGTGGAAATAAAGAGGGTGCAAGAAAAGCTTTCAAATACTTACTGAAGCAAGGCTAAACATACGGTCCTATTTATCTTGAAGCCTCAAAATATGAAGAGAGAGAAGGGGAACTTGATAGATCTATTCAGATATGCGAGGAAGGTCTTAAGTATAACATTAAACATGGCCCTTTATGGTTTTAATATCTTAGACTCTATGAAAAGTGTGGACTTGATAGACCTACTCCTTTTGAAAACCTTGATAATATAATCAGACTAATGTTTACGCACATTCCAAAAGAACTCTCATGGAAAGTATACATTGAAGCAGCTCAGACTTATGAAAGATTAGATGATATTGAGGCAACATTAGATTTCCTTGAGTAATCTTTAATCACTTCTCAGTCACAACTGAAGTGGAAGGTATGGTTGCTAGCATCAAGATTCGCTTACAGATAATAGAAAGTAGACTAGGCAAGAAAACTCATAGAGAGATGCTGCATCTAAGTACCTCCTAAATAAATATCTCTCGCTTTACTTGAATATGCCAAATTCTTTGAGATGGAAGGATAAATTCTGAGAGCAAGATAGATAATGGCAAGTGCAAAGAAACTAGTAAGAGGCGAATGGAAGATCTGGTTTGAAGCAGTGATGCTTGAAGTTAGAAACGGCTTTTTCCGAGAAGCTGAGGATATGGTAGTTACTTCACTTAAGGTTCATAATGCAACTGGAAGATTATGGGCAACTCTTATTTAGTTATAACATGCTCGATCTTAGACTAAAGAAGAGTTTGATAATACTTATCGCACATTTATTAAATCTCTACACGAGATTCCTAAATCTGGTGAAGTGTGGTGTGAAGGTGCTAGACTTCACATGTCTCAACACACCAATAATTCGTACTACGATTTGGCAAAGGCAAGGAAATACCTTGAGTTCGCTATTTAATTCACACCATAATACGGAGATTCTTTCCTTGAACTGATGCGCTTGTATCTGATAACTGAAGAAAAGGAAAAAATGGAGGAGCTAAAATAATACTGCATCCACGCAGAGCCAAATTATGGCGTTCTATGGTTCTACTTCAAAAACTCTATCCTTGACAACGCAGTGTAATCTATTTACTTTAACCTAACATTATATAGTGATATTTGGAAGAATTCAATCGACCAAATGAGCTAAGAAATGAAAGAGTCAAATTTAGGCACAGAACCTCAGTGGATGGGTTCTCAAAAGCTGATCTAAATTATGAGGAGAGGAATGAGAGACAGCTCCTTCGACGAGAAAGTTAAGATAGTATATGGATTCGAACAGGTGCTTCCCTAGATCCCATATCTTTGAATAAGATCAAAGATCGATGGATGATGATCGTTTCGGGGCAACCTCTACAACTCGAATAAATAATAACACCTGATAACCTTTTAGATTTATTATACCTAATTAAAATATTATGTCATTATTCTCCTTTTTCATAGAATATTCTATAGGGGTTTTGGGGTTTTGGGGTTTTGGGG